AGAGCCTGAAGAAGAACCGGAGTATATGCTCTCGTATGAGCGGTGGATGGACCCCAATTTTGTACCCGAGGACAATTTCTTTGAGGAGTTGGTCGGGGAGGAACAGGTCGAGGTTCCAGTGAGTCGGGTGATATCGACCACCCGATCGAGATTGAGGCAGAGTCGAGTCCTCGGAGGAACAGCTGATTAAGGAAGTTAGATTCGGTAGGACGAGGAATCGGACTGAGAATGGACGCCGAGCAAAGGGCGTAGGGGTTAGCGTAGGGGTTGGAATTAGACTTTTTTTAGGTGTACCATTTTTTAGGATACGATATCGAGGTCATCGATCCTTTTTAAATATCGGTGGTTTTATAGTGTGGTGTGCATGTGTATATGGCGGATGTAAATTGTGAATATCGTATAAGTTTGGATAAGAAATGAATATGTATATTCTCCCTGATTATCCCAGTTTTATTTGTCCGGGTACTTTGAGGTTTCCGCTGGTTATTTCAAATCTCTGATAATTATAAGTGAGGTCGGCGATACCCTGGAACGTCGCATTAATCGACCAGTGAAGGATGGCGCGTGCTCGATGTGGTTCGGGGCGTGACATAGTACATCTGTGATAATTTTACATCTAATTAATTTTTTGATCACCAAAAACCCCAAACTGGCATACCTGTGACAAATTTACCCCGAACTATTTTTTTTACCACAAAAAACCCCTCACTGGTACACTTGTGATAATTTTACCTCGAACTAATTTTTTGACTATCAAAAACCTCAAACTAGTACACCTATCATAATTTTACCCCAAACTAATTTTTTGACTACTAAAAACCTTAAACTGGTACATTTATGACAAATTAACCTCTGTTAGTGTCTGTTAAATTGGATTAATATCACAAAAAATCAAAAAATTGTAAACTTGTGACAAACAGTGGGGTAAAACCCTAAACTAGTACACCCGTCAACTACCATGTGTCATCAAACTTAGCAATTTAACCGTAAAATTTAACGGAAACTAGGGGAAGGTAAATTTATCACATGTGTACCGGTTTGGAATTTTTTGTGATCAAAAAATTAGTTCGGGGTAAAATTGTCACAAGTGTATCAATTTGGGATTTTTTATGGTCAAATAATAGTTCCGGATAAAATTGTCACAGGTGTACCAGTTTGGAGTTTTTTGTGGTATTATCCCTATATTTTATACATCGAGAAAACTCAACATTATAGCATATTTCTCTATAGCATAGTGATCTTAGACTTTCATAAAGTATGATATCCTTCTACAATGTTATAAAATAAATTATACGATTATTTCTTTTACATCATGTCTCACGTTAATAAAATTTCCTAATGATTAAAAACCATGTATATAGACATGCCCTTCAAAGCGCGGGCTAAGTAAATTATTGTGATGATGCTGAACTTTTCAGTGTTGGTGGCGGACGAACTAAACAATCCGAGGTGGGAAGGAAACAAAAAAATTATAGTAAACTCAAGAGGCGGTATATACTGTACAAGGATGGGAAATTACCAAAGAAATCTTAAACTTATTGCATTTATATTGATTTAGTCCTAAACTTTTCAGTTTGGTCAATTTAGTCCTGAACCTGCTGTACTTGTACCAATTTAGTCTTAAACATTTCGATTATGTCAAATTAGTCTAAACTTTCTGACGATTTACCAATTTAGTCTTTCTGGCTAATTTTGGCCGAAAATCGATAACATAGCGATCTAGTCAGTGCCAGCCGTCTTACATGGTACGACCACTATTGACGTAGACAATTTTTATTTTTTAATTTATTATTATTTTTATTCTTTTCTTTTTTCTTTCCTTTTTATTTCTAACCCTGGGTCGGCAAGAGCATCGGCCCTCGCCCAGATCTAGACAAGGACCGCATCCCTCGCCTGCTGGCCGGCGAGGGCCTCTGTGCCCAGATCCAAGCGAGGGCCGCGACGCCCTTGCCAGCCTAGGGTTAGGAAAAAAGGAAAACAGAAAGAATAATAATAAATAAAAATTCATAAAAAATTTAAAATTTTGTCTACGTTAGGGTCGGCCATGCCACGTAGGACGGTCGGCGCTAACTAAACCACAACGTCAGCTATTTCTGGCCAAAATTGGCCGGAAAGAATAAATTGGCAAATTATCAAAAAGTTTATGACTAAATTGACAAATCGTCTTTGACCGAAAAAAAAAAATCGTCAAAATGTTTATGACTAAATTAGTTAAAATTGAAAGATTTAGGACTGAATTGGTACAAATGCAATACATTTAAGATTTTTTTTGGTAATTTTCTCAAGGATATGGCATACAGTATTTTATTTGGTTTGGCACCAAGTATCATGTGGTCGGGAGAAGGACGGCCCACCACACCAGGCCCCCGTGGTCCCATTATTGATTGAATCGGTCCCGTTATTAGATCATCTGCTCTTTCTGTTGGTAAATTTTGGTCTCTTCGATTGAAACATTGTCATCAATCACGTTGGCCGGGCTTCTTACCATGTAAATCCGCATTTTGACGAGTTGTTTTCTTTCTAAATAGAGAGAGGGCTGAATGAAGAATAAACAAAAGTAGACGATGAAACAATAGTGAAATATACGGAGAATTTCTTAATTATTTATAACGCTAAATCTCAACTATAATAAATGATGTTTATTTGTAAGGATTTAACTGAAGGGCCGAAGACGATGGGATACAAAGCCAAACCCGTTTTATGTGCTCCTTCAATTTAACCCTTTTCTTGATTTGTACTAAAGAGCTCACTAGGACCAACAACCATGACTAGTGATCGTCCTTGACATTGTGTATATGTGCCATTCCATTATAGGGCGTGCTCAGAAGCAAGCTCGCTCGTTCTCTCGCTCGCTCATAGCTTTTGCTTAAAGCTCTAATGTCCACGTTGTAGACGACGTCAGCCTCCTCGTGATGCTACCGGACCCAAACCCCTCTTCCGGGGTGTTTTTCTCTTCCATTCTCCAAGTCGCCTCTCAGTCCATCATTGATTGAATTAAGTCTCTTCAAGTGAAACGTTATTACTAATCATATTGGTTGGGTTTTTTCAAGTAGATATGCATTTTGACAAGTTGCTTTCTTTCTTATAAAAAAAAAGAATAAATAAAGAAAAAAAGTAGCCAGTAAAAATCACCAAAAATCACCTACCTTGAACCTTTTTCTGTGACACCAAAAATCACAAGCTCGCATTTATGGGACACATTTAACCTCCGTCAAAATGAGAACCGATAAAAATTTATCTACATGGACATTATAAAAACAAATGGTGTTGACATGACGCTCAAGTAGCTTAAGTTAAATATAAACGACGTTTTTTTGGCTGAAAAATCATTAAACAGAATCTTGACGGAGGGTAAATATGTCACTAGGTACAAGTTTGGTGTTAAATGTGTTATAGTAGGCCTAATTTGAGGTTTTTTATATCACAAAAAAAAATTTCAAGGTAAATGTGTCAAAGTAAGCATAGTTTCATTTTTTTTTTGTGACCTTTGCCCTAAAACAAAATGGAAAGAGGTAATTTTGAGGATCGTCCAAGCATCCTTAGCATCAAGTCGCCCATAATCATGCTCTTTTTAAAAAAAAAAAAAAAGAGGGGCAGGAGAGGAAAACGGGTGATGAGCAAGGAAAATGAAGTAAATTGTCGAATTTGCCTTAAAAGAAGCACGAGGTTGCCCTATTTTAAATGTATATCAAAGGAAGAAATATATATTACAACTGTTAATGGGATATGTTCACTGAAAGTCATAAAACTTGTCTCCAAAGTGTAATTGAATCCTAAAATTACACCATCAATTTGTCTAACAAAAAATACTGATGTGACATATTTAAATCAATCTTTCTCTCCTACGTGGCATTTATTATTATTTAAATTAGATTAAAAAAGTAAAGAAACCTAAAATTTTATTTAAAAAAACAATAATGGATAAAAAAGTAGGCCTCGCCGGTAGGGCACTGCCGTCGCCACCCATCGTCAGAGGGGCGAGCAACCTTCACCAGTCGATTGCCGGCCCGAGGTGAGGGTGGCCAGGTAAGGGCCGGCGAGGCTCGCCCATATCTGGGCAACGCCTCGCCGACCCTTGCAAGGGGCCAGCGTGGCTCGCCCAGACCTAGGTGTCGTCCGCCCTCGCCAGGGTCAATGAGGCTCGCCAGACTCGAGCGAGACCTCACTGGCCCTACACAAGGGCCGGCGATGTTGATAGCCGGATTCGCCCAAATTTGGGTGAGCCTCTCTTAGGCCTATAGAGGGTCGCTGGCAAGTGCCGGTCGCTCTCACCCACGATCGGCGAAGAGAGATGGGCGGCAATGGCAGCGGCAGCGCCCAACGTCGAGGACTCTCCCCTTTCTTTTTTTTCTTTTTTTTCATTGTTGTTTTTGTAAATAAAAATTTAGCTTTAATTTAAATAAGATTTGAATGAGAAAATAATAATAAATGCCACGTTGGAGAGTGAAATTGATTTAAATATGCCACGTCAGCATTTTCGTTAAACAATTTGACGATGTTAACTTTAGAACTCGATTGAATCAATTTGACAAGTTTTAGGACTTGAAGTTTTAGGTCTCAATTGTACTTTGGTGACAAGTTTTAGGAATTCTAGTGAACATAACTCACTATTAATTATAAAGTAGGTTCATATCACGATAAATCTCAAACTGGTATACTTGTGATAAATTTACCAAAAACTAATTTTTTTACCACTAATATCCCAAATAAATTTATCCTTCATTAAATTGGATTAATATCACAAAAAATCATAAATTAGTAAACACGTAATAAATAGATGGATAAAACTCTAAACTGGTATAACGGTTAACTGTCACGTGTCATTCAACTCAGTAATTTTATGATAAAATCTAATGAAAATTAATAGAGGATAAATTTATCATAAGTGTATCAATTTGAGATTTTTTGGTAATTAAAAATTTAATTTGAAATAAATTTGTGATAGATGTATGAGTTTGAGTTTTATGTGGTATTAACCTCCAATACAAAGAAGTAAAAATCATAAATAAGATCCATAGGCTCGAAACCCCGGTCTATGTGCTCTTGACTGTCGTCCCCTTCCCTGCTGCATCGTTTCAATTGCAGGGCGTGCGCAAGCTCGCTCGTTCGCTCGCTCATGGCGTCCGCTCCTTCCAAGCTCTACGCAGGTTCCTCTCTACTTCGGCACTGATGACACCTCCCCGCTAATACCCATCTGCTTTCGTCCCCAAAGTTCGGATTTTCCCTCCCATTTCTTTTACTTCTCTTCCCCCTTCATTCTTGACGATTCTTGCTGCTGCTTCGTGTCCATGGTTGCAGACGACGTCAGCCTCCTCGTGGTGCTGCTGGACACAAACCCTTTCTTCTGGAGCGCTTCCTCTCTCCCGTTCTCCAAGTTCATCTCTCACGTAGCCCCCACTGCTCCTCGTTCCCTCCTCTCCTTCTCTGGGACTCTTGATTTTGCTGAATTGCAACACTCTGTTTTCTCTTTTGGAGCTTAGCCACCGTTTCTTTTCTTGTTATTCGTTTTCGGGAAAATTTATGTAGGTGATTTCGTTCTTGAATTCGGTTCTGCTGCTCAATCAGCTGAACCAAATCGTGGTGATAGCCACGGGGCACAACTGCTGCGACTACCTTTATGATTCTTCCTCTCCGGTGAACCGGTCGTCGGGGACGGGGAAATTGTCGGCTCTGTCCGTTGATCTTCTGGAGAAATTGGAGGAATTCGTGATTCGGGATGAGAAGTTGTTGAAGAAAGAGCCCGAAGGCTTGATACCCTCTTCGCTGTTATCCGGGTCGCTGTCGATGGCGCTTTGCTGTATCCTTGGTGTATATGATTGCTTGAGAGTTGTGGGTAGTGTGATCCTTAATGTTCTGGAAATGAAATGAGTGTTATCTTTTGTAGCACTAAAAGGTTGAAATTCTTTTTGAAAGCTGCAATTGGCAGAAAATTGGTACTTCTTCATGTTGATGTTGTTTTTTATAGGGACTGTGGTCCGCTTTCGGATCATTCGTAAATTAGCAGATTGTTTGATTAATAATGTGAAATTTGAGAGGCAAGGTGTAATATTTATGCAACTTGTGGAAAATGTGTTTGATTTGATTTGACTGTCAGACATTCAGAGAGTTTTTCGTTCAGGACTGCTACATCCGCATCCTCGAGTAAGTATTATACATCCTGAATTGACTATCATCTACAATGCACCATTGAATTAATAAGTGGATTGTGAGGATTCATCATAGCGAGATCCTAAAAACTCACGTTTTCATGCACTAAGTTCCTGTTGTTGGTCCATCTTAGGCAGAATGTCTAAGGCAATATAAGTATTGCACCTAAAAGTAAGTTGCTTTTGATAGCTTAGGAGTTTATATTTCGTTTAGAGGTTGCAGATATTGCAGTTATATAAATCTACTAACTCTTCTTAGGCTTATATGACAGAAAAGTTCGTTTATTTCCACATAAGCAATAAAAATGAACAGCGGCCAAAAGTTTTCTGGAGATTTTTGCTGATGCTGCCACAGTCAGATTGTTGAGAGGTCCAGTTGTGATTGTAGATTTAAGTCTTGAATTTTCAAATGGCTAGTACCTGAACTAATTCAAAAGATGCTGATATCTATTATATGTGGGGTACCCACTTGATACCCAATATTTTGTTAACTCGTCCTTGTTTTGTTAGAAATGGACTAGTATGTCATGAATTCCTAATGTTAAAATATAAATAACCAAAGGGAAGTACAGTGCTTTTACTGAGGTGATATTGGATTTGGTTGGTCAATTCCTTTTCTGTTCTATTGTGCAATTTATTGCATTTTATGACATTAGGAAAGTTACAATGGAAGTACTGGTAATAGTAACCAAGCCTTCTGAGTATCTAAATTTTGTGGTATAATTTGAAAGACCCTATGATGATGACATAGGTTTGAGAAGGCTTTCCTTTGAAAGATAAGTACAATCAAAAGGATCTTGTTTTTGTTCTACTCATATGCATTATCACCGTAATGGTAGATGGGGAGTAATTGTTTAGTTGCAAATAGTTGACTAATTCTTCACAAAAAGAAGACAAATGATTCAAATATAGTTGTTCCTTCATCCTATCACTATGATTTCCCATCATTGTGGTGCTCAACATTAGAGTGAGCATCTGCTGATTTTGAGTCTGTACAATGTTCTGATGTCTGTTTTTCTAACTTGCAACTTGGGACCTCGCTATATTTAGAGGCTCACTTGTTGAACACAATGGTCATGGATTATTGGAGAGGATCATGCATCAAGTGGATATATTGATATACCTTTCTTGTATATTTTGAATGCAAATACTTATAATGCAGCAATGGTACTGAGGTATAGGATTTCTCCCTTGGAACATTGAAAGGAAAATCTTTGGACATCACATTTTGTATTGTTTTTCCTTTCCACACCTGTCATCTAGTGGCTTCTCGTTTTTTACCAGGTTTATTTCACGATAATGTCTTTCACATATAAAGTTTTCCAGGAGCACTCATTTAATAGTGATTTCTTTCTGCTTTTTTGGTGCAGATTTTATGCTTGCATGGATCTCAGGATGGGCCTGAACAGTCAGTGCTCAATTTGCTTTTCCCTTTTGTTGTTGTGTATCTTTGCTGTAGACAAATTATTTATAGACCTTCTCTTCCTTTCAGATATGTTGCCATCATGAATGCAATATTCTCTGCACAGCGATCGATGGTATGTATTTAGTTATCTTCAATCTTCTGCAAAATAACTAACTGATGACTAATCTAATCTTCACCAACGGAGACAAATAAACTACATTGGGGCAGTATTGTTATTTCTTGCCACACGTCACTCTACTTTGCAAATGCCAATTATTGCTACCGAACTGTTGATTGGGCCCTTTTGCAAATAACAGCCTTTAAATGGCAGATCTTAGGTTTGAGATCATGACCCTGATATTTTCTTCAATATTATCTTCAACTGTAGAAATTTTATTTTTGTGCGGACAACTTATATATTGGGTAGTTCTTGAACCTAATTTTGAAGCTTTGTAGTATTAGAGGTACAGCCCTTTTTGCTGACAATTGTTTGCCTTCTAACTTGCCTCTGCATGGTGTCAATGTCATTTTTAGTTTTCGGTATGCAAGCTGCTCTGGTTGTAAAGTGGGTATGATCTCAGGAAACTCTGTTTCTGCAGGTCCCCATTGATTCCTGTTTCATTGGAGCTCAAAATTCTGCCTTTCTCCAGCAGGTACTTCCTCTTTTCTTTTTCTTTTTAACTTTTGGGAAAAGAATCCTGGATCCTTTTCTTCTCAGTTTAGCATTTTTAACTTTGTGGTCAAAGAGTATTATATTGTATGTTTCGTTGATGTTGAGTTTTGCTTGCACTACCTGTTGTTGATGTTGGTATCACTTGATCAGGCTTCCTATATTACTGGTGGCGTATATCTGAAGCCACAACTATTGGATGGAACATTTCAGTATCTATCGGTATGAGATAAGCATATTTCTTGTCAAGGAAGCAACTTCTGGTTGTTAGTTTGGGGTATTCTTTTTGCTGTGGAACTTAAGTTGGCTGTAAAGATTTGTAATAGTTGACCTGAAGCAACTTGTTGGAAGGGGAAAAAGTTTCAACGAAGCACATGTACTTTTATGGATCCATCTATCTTGCTCGCCCTTGCATGCGATCAAATTTTCCTTGTTTTCTTGGTTTTCTGTGCTCATATAGATATTTCAGGTTAAAACTAATCTCTAATGAAGTTATAAGCTACACACCTTTATATGGTATTCCTGTGTTTAATTTACTTTAGAGTTGATTTAGCTCTGCTGACTGGCACACAATGAACTTGTAAATATGTACCTTTTTTATGTCCAGTGGGAAATTTAAGGCTTTTACTTTGTTCTTGCTAATCAGCGAAAAATTTCGTGTTAAAACAGGACCTGAATCAAGATAAGATGTTTTAAGTAACTGATGTTTTTCTTTTTTGGTTGACAAATGATTTATCTGTTAGTCTTTTGTTTCCTTACTGATGCTCAATGCGAGGCCAATTCTGAGACATTATGTTTTTCATGCTGTAGTGGGAGTATTAGATTTTTCTACCAATCTGGTGCTGACTATACTATTGAGTGTTTTAAGTTATTCGAGCACCCTGTTGTATTTAAACAGTGGATCCTGGCTTCAACTGTTCTTTTCTTCATGTTCAAGATTGAAAATGTTACGTGTGTGGCTTCACAAGATTGATCACCCATGCCAAAGACTAAGAAGTTCATTGAGTTGGAGATACATCTGTCCCCTATCTTTTTCTTTTTTTCTATTCAATCTCCTTCCTGTTCTTTATTAGGTAGAGACCAGAGAGGCTTAAGAAATTTTAAAGATTAGGTAACATCCCTGTAGTATTTAATCTTGGTGACCCAAAAAAAGTTAAGCATGAGCCATTTGTCAAAAAAGGTTCCACAGGTTGAGAAAGCAATGATCAAACCTAAAGTGGAAAAAGAACGAAACCCTAATATTTCAGTAGTGAACACATTCTCTCAATCTCTGAAAGGGAGAAAAATCTTTGATGCACATAACATTAGCATGCCTTTTTTATTCCAATATTATGGTATTTTGTTGGTAGCTATGTACTTGATCAACAGGCTTCCATCCTTGCATTAATGCAATCATACTGGATCTTGCAGACAGTTTTTGCCACTGATTTGCATTCTCGTCGATTCTTGCAATTGCCCAAGTCCGTTGGTGTTGATTTTCGCGCATCGTACGTCGGCTTTCCCTGGCTTTGTTTCCTCCATCTGCTGCATCTTTGTTGCCTACCTTTGTATTTTTATCTAATTTTTTTCCTCCTGTTTCTGCCACAAAAGTATATGTTAAATAACTCGTGTTTAACTCTCTCATTGACACAAACAGAGATGTGGGGATTGGATTTTTTCTTTTGTTGATCATTCTTCCACTGTGTTTGGTTAAAAAGGACAAAAAAACATAGATAAAACATATTAAACTTCCAGTTTGTTTGTTTTGATTTCCTCTTGGTGGAAGGTGGACGGAGGAAGGAATTGATTTCTCTGAGGATGTGCCACATCTTTTAAATGGGTTTGCAAGAGTTAAAGGCCTTAGCTTCAGTAATTTGATCTACATATAATTAAAGAAAGGAAAAGATTCTATGGGTTTTTTTCTTCTTACTTTCTCTTGACCAATATGAGTTCATGTTCTGCTGGAACTTTCTGTGAGAATGAACAGAACGGACCTCATCTTGCTAGTTTATGTGTGTCTGAATAAGAGTGACCTTGGTGGCGCCAGCTACTTCTACTGCATTTGTCATTTGTCTAATTATGGTTCCTCGGAAAAACTCCTATGCTTCACAGTGAGCATCAGGCTTATTAGTTTGATCTCTGGGTTCTTGAGAAAGAAAAATATTCTCAGCTAAATTACATGTTCATGTGTACTCAATGCAATCCCCTAACCTGTGATAAACAGCTTGCAAACTTCTATGTTTTAGAAATCTCTGATGTACCCGTCTTTTCAGAGGGATGAACAAATTTTTGCTGTAGACCTCTTATTTTTGGTGTCTCAGTGAATCTAAAGGAACTTTAAAATGTGCAGGTGCTTTTGCCATAAAAAAACTATTGACATGGGCTACATCTGTTCTGTATGTTTGTCTATATTCTGTAAGCACCACAAGAAATGTTCAACCTGTGGGTAAGTGATTTTGATCTCTCAATTGCATTTTCATGATAATTTTTCCTGTTTCTTAAACTATAGCTCTCTGTTTCTGTTTCTCTGGTATGTTTAATGACCAAAATGGATAAGGGCGTGCCTAGATAAACTTGTCGTTTATACATTTTGTTTGATTTAAAATTCTGTGACAAGATGCACTTTGAATTTTTTAACCCAAAACATCCAAAAACTTTCTCTATACATCAATATTAACACGTAAATTCACATAAATTTTTCATAATTTTTTGATATGTGGATAATATTTGAGATAGCAGCTATAACCAATTACTTGCTCATGGTAGTGTAAAGACTCAGATTGACCATTTGCTGAGTGTGATGGCCCCATTGTCCTCCCATAAGAGGCAAATAGATTAGGACATGGTGTGTTCTTTCCTGCGCTCGCAAAAGTTGATGAACATTTCTCATAGTTTGGCTTTGCAGTTTGGCTTTTATGGTCAATTTACTAGAGCTTTTTTTTTTGCAGATCTGTTTTTGGTCAGCCCCAATCAGATGCGGCCTCAGAACCTAACAAGAAAAGAAAGGCTGGAGATGCATAAGCTCCACAGCTTCTATGTTTGTGGTTTCATCGATGAAGTCTCTGTTTGGTGAGAATCCTCTAATTCATGATCATAAACTTGCCACGGTTAACCCACACACACTGTTCGTTGCTATGGAATGAAAGTAGTACGCACGCGTGCGCACACCAATCAGGCATTTGAAATGTTGGGTACTGGTTTCCGACACTTGACTAGGACTAGGACATACAATTGGTGACCTGACTAGAATGCATGTACAAGGTTTAAAAATGTTACTCTTGCTTTGATGGTATAAGAACTTCGACAGGTAAGCTAAATTTTTGTCACACCAGCTTACAAATCTTTGATTTTGCTCAGTGCAATTAGGCTCGTATCTGCATGTGAAGGCTGCAATGTGAGCTTCAACTGCAGTGACATGCCTGGCAATTAGGGAACTCCCAAACCTGTTATGCGGAGCAACGACTAATTTTAGTGAATGGAGGATTTTTTTTTGCCCCTCTTGAGTCTTTCTCGCCGAACTGGTGTTGTAGCAATGGAGGTTTTCTAGTCCCTTCCCTTGAGTTTTTCTTGGGGAACAAAATTTTTGTATACTATATCATGTTAATCCTAAGGGTTGCGATTATTTATGTCCTATGTTATTCAGCTCTGAACGCTTGAGAATTGAGATCAGATAAAAAAATTCTTCATGTGGATTTCTCTCTGAAAATGATCGATTTCGCATGTTCTTTTGGAATAGCTACCTGTGTGAAAATGTTATTGGTATTCATATGGAGAATTCAAGTCACATGTATCTTTCACACGCTACTTCTTTCTTAGGTGATATCGGGATCGAGAGTGCCTAACGACATGACCGTCTCTGTGTACCATCATGAACCTAGAGCATGGGAGCCATATATCATCGCACCGAGGCCGGCCTCTTTCTTGAGGTGCTGCATCTCGGGCGTGAGTACATATCCTTGTGTGTAGTAGCAACAGAATGTAGCCGCTGTAGCTGGTTATCTCAACTTCTTTCGCATCAAAAATCAAATAAAACGACAGGAATCGGTCGATGCAACTCGAAAGTAAAAGCCTTGAGTACAAAATAGGTCTTATTTTAGGCTTATGTTGCTCTTTGGAATTTGTCTTTTGTATGAGATAGCTCTTGGAGATAAAATTTTCCATGTCACTTTATCCTCCATCCATTATCCTAATAATTTGTTCCTTGAGCATCTTTTGCCCTCCTTTCCAGTACCTTGTCCTCTAAGGACCGAATGAATTCTAACCAAAGAAGAAAAGATTCAGCAATAAGGATTAACGGCAAAGGCAAGTACTAAAACCAAAGAGGGCGAAGTGACTATCTGTGTAATCCGAGTGACACACTGTTGCTTATATATATAATATTATATTTTTGTATGAAAGTTACCAAGAAAATTTCCTAAGTTGAAAAAAGAAAAGATGAGTTAAAAAGTTGTAGTCCCTAAGACTCCGGTTGAGTCAGTCCCTCTACTTTCAATCTTGTCAAAGTTGGTCCCTGTGCATTTGTATTCAGTAGAAGGGCTTCTGATTGAGTTCTTGACATGCAAGTGCTGCCTAATTTAACAAGAGGAACTTTTGGTATTGCTGAAGGAATTCACACGCTTCAGCAGCAGCAGCAATAATAATAATAATAATAACAATAATAATGATGATGATAAAAAAGATATTCACCACAACCCATCTAGTCTATAGTCTGTACAGAGCATTAATTCTGCGAAACATAAAAAAAATTCTTATAAATATTTCTTGAACCGACAGACAAATGAGCAATATGATTAAAATGTGTTGCCGAATTGTTCACATATGGTGCCCATGTGACCCATCAGGAAAACTTTTTTTTTTTAAAGTTTGTACCCAGATCCATTTCGACTCCACAGGAGGGACAATGAACGACAGAAATGTTCAATTTCGCCATACAGATACTGATCGCCTTTGAGTCAACCGGTGCAAAGATAAAGCTTTAGAGAGGAAAAAGATAGAGAAGACACGTATGGGCTTCTTGAACAAGAATTAGATTGACCGTAGATGAATGTACAGCTTAATAGCTATATTCAGATTCACATATCGAGCAGAAAAAAAAACATTCAAAGACTTAAGAATTGGGTGAGAGACCCTAGCAGCAGCTGAGCTGGAGAGCTTCGTCCAGCTCCCTTTCCAATGGCGGGGGAGGAGACGGAGGAGGAGAAGCCCCGCGAGACGTGCGTGCGTTCTCCATCGTCTTTTCCTTTGGTGCTCTGGTTCTCATGGAGTGATGTTCTTGCAAGAACCGTTTCATTGTTGCTGAGAACTTCACTTGGAGTGGTGATGAAGTTTGAGATGATGATGATGGTGAAGTGGTTCTCTCTTGGTAGGGCAGTATCAGCATTGCAGCAGTAGGTGCCATGTTTTGATGGAGAAGAAAGCACATACACAGGAGAGAGAGAGAGAGAGAGAGAGAGAGAGAGAGAGAGAGAGAGAGAGATTTGTGGCTACAAAAAGAACATATTTTGGGAGAGAATGCGGTGTGGGGGGGTCTGGTGGAAACAGGATGAAAGCCTAGAACTGTGGGCGTTTTCATGTCTTGTAGTGCATGGGAGAAACTGATGGGTTAGTGGTGATGAATATCAGGATTAGGGCTAAAGCATAAAACTGTGGGCGTTTTCATGACTACTTATGCATGGGAGAACATGATGGGTCAGTCATGATTAATATCGAGATTAGGGTAAAACCTCTCAGGTTACGTTTGGTTCGAGATTAGGGTAAAACCTTTCAGGTTGTGTTTGGTAGTCTGAATATTTAACTAAGATAGGATTGTAGAGGATCAAGATGTGAAATCCGGGGATTACCTTATATTCTATAATTATTTAGAGAATTGCAGTAAAAAAGTGAGATACTTTCATATCCCATCTTGTCCATTATTTAGTAAGAACTGCATGTAAATGAACCCGAAAATACACAAAAAAATATGATAAGAATTTGTCATAATTCACTGCTAAAGAAATTACAAATGCACAAACAAAGAGAGCCATCGACAATCAGTCATTGATTATTGCATGATCTAAACCTTAAACAGCAAAGGAGCTCATTATAACATTCAAAAGTCATAGGTTCAACCATGACAAAAAAATATAAACAGGCTACAGTGACATCAACGAGATAGATCAGCTAGTGAATGCCAATTCTAGCGAGAGAGAAGAAGAATGATCAATCACATTCGCGATCCTGAAAAGTATAATGCTTCGATTATTTCGCTGCTTTCGTGAAACTTCAATGTGAAACAAAGAACTACAGAGGAGAAGGAACTTCGACTCTCTCCAAAGAAGTTACGGAGGAGTCATGAATCTTCAACATAAAGCTACAGATAAAAAAGAGAGGGTATGGTTTTTATAGAAATCTTCTCGCCCCTCATTCTTTGAGAATTAGAAAGATCCTTTTTGAGTTTGAATTTATTCATTTAATGTCTAGGTTCTTCTACTTTATTTTTATTACTTATTTTTTAACTATTTTTACTCTCTCTTTTTATCGTTTTTAATTCCCTTCCATCATTCCTTAATCAAAATTTTATAAATAATGAACTATACTAATATACCTAAAATATGCATATATATAAAGAAATTTATCTTATCATGTGTTTGGTTTCTGTTCAAAACATGATAAGGTCGGATATAAGAGGGACATAGCGCGAATAAAAAATATCCTGTGTGGGGGCTAGGTGGTTTCTGATCTTATCTCTCTTATATCCAGCCTTATTCTATCCTGCCTTTTATCCTGATTATCAAGCGTGGCCATAGGTTTGTGCATGTGTTGTCCATCATATGATTGAACTCTAACCCAGGTTGGTCTAGGAACAAATGGTTATTATCTCATTAGTGTCTCTTTCAAGTTTACCATCAACTCCAGTGACAACCAGAGATATTGGCCAAGCATGTTTCATCGTGAGGTCCACCCAGTCAGCTGTTCCAATGCCTTGTTGACTTAACAACAAACACAAGCCATCGAGGCACTATTTGTCTACGAAAAATAAACGATTTCTATAAATTATCGCTTGTATCATTTAAAATAATTAATCGATAAAAAATATTTTCATTTTCAATAATAATTTACATATAAACATCTTCGTGAAAGACAAAAATACTTTCTGTCCATTCAATCTTGTAAGCGATATAAATAATTATTTGTAGAAAAAAGTTTTCCAAATCATATAATTTTCGCGAAGCAAACAGAGCCTAACAAAACAGTACTCAATAGCCAAACGATTATATTCGTTTTTCCCTAAACTCTAATTAAGGTTTCTGCTGGAGGCTGGGATGGAGTACTGACAAGACCAAAGTAGTCTCGGAATCAACTAGATGCAGAACACTCGCCACTGGGAAAGTCATAATTCTGCAAGAGAAGATTCGCCCATGTAGATAAGGAAAGAAGTTGACCAACTTTGTGTTGACTTTGAGAACTATCAATCTATATTGCCAGATAATATATATACACATGATCTCGTTTACACAGCAGAAGCCTTCCAAACTATTCACTTTGCTTTTCTCTGTTTCTTCTTTTGTTACAACCACGGATTTAGCCAAACCCGAGGAGGACATCCGAGAACGGATGTGAGTAGTGTTATGCACAGGAAGGAAGCGTACGCTCAATGACCTTGGTTCCAGTGGAAAGAAGCTGGATGTTTCGCGGTCACGTGATGGATTCCGTCGCTTCTGTTGTAGTCTTCTCTTCAAGCAAGGGCGTCGTGCTCGACTCGTGGGTCGCACTGGTATCCGGCTCGGTTTCCTCATCGAATCTATCGACACTGGGCAGAAAAGTTCCTGCGATTTTAAGCAACTGCATCAGTTGTGATTGTTCTAGGTGAACAGGGGCGGCACACAGAAGGATCATAGTAGGATCTAGGCCTAGTTAAGGATCGGCTGTAAATGCCGAACCCGAGCCAACCGTTGGGTCCCACTCGGCAGCATGACCCATCCAAAAATCTTTCCCAGGTTGTTGTGAATTTTATACACCAATGCCGAGCTTCTCTACCTGTCTCTTTCCACAACCGTGCAGAACTACCATTCCATTTGACGTTTGACAGTGATATCCAAATTGTCCATATAATGCCTAGGTAAAGCAGACTTTTGGTCCTTTTAACTTATACTTCTATTTTTCAGTATCGTCCTCCAACTTTTCTTTTCTGCAGTTGAGTCCTCTTAACGCGGCTTGTGCAATCTGACCTTCCCTCATTGGTCATCATATCCTCAACCAAATGGTTATGCAGCCATGTCTCATGTGAAATCACTTAAAATGGAAAAGAAAATTTTATAATTAAGTCTAAGTTTGTCTCCCTAACTTATAGTGTTTTCAAAATTTGTCCTCCGAATTATTCATCTAGTTCAGTCAAGTCTTCTAAAATTGCCACAATTTTCTCAATCTGATCTTCACAAAGAAGTTAGGGAGCCCATTTAACAAGGGAAAGATAAACTTGGTGACACTTGGCGGAATGGATTGGACTCGACAAAAGTCGGATGAACAAATAGCCAATAGAAAATTACATTTACCATAATATTATTCTACCATATTATTCCTATAATTCAATTGAAGGAAAGCCATGCCAGCATTTTGAAAAAGGAAATAATGACATATGATCATTGAAGGATCACAATGCACGATCAAAATAAGTTAAGAGGACCAATGGTAAGAGAACGAGGTTTAAACAAAACTAAGGAACAATGCAAGTGGAAAGGATCAAACTTTCTTTTTTGTCCTATCCCTATCATTTCTTCTGCTAACTAATTGGTCCCAGTGCCCAGAGCCCTCTAACTAAGAGTGTTTTTCACTTTTTATATTTTCATTTTCTTCTGCCTTTCCAATGAAATCATCTTTGGAATAGATACATGCAGAAACTGCGTCAAGAGAATATATATAATTTCAAGTATAATCAAATCCTTACCAATGAACCAAAAGCCAGCCGCGGGAAACAAGATTGCCGTCAGAATGAGAGCAGTCTCCCTCCAATTATTGACATAGTCCTGCACGATCTCTCAGTTAGTTCCAACTTGTAAGTAGCACTGTTAATAGTCTTTTAGGATAAATAAAGCAGATAAGAGGCACATCCTCTGATATGTGGACTGTTATCCCTTTTGATGCTAGATTGGAAATTTTTGTCATGCCTATCCAAAATTTTCCAGTCGCAAGCAAGGTACAGATTAGCCATAAAGAAAGAGGCAGCTCAAATTATAGTCAGCCAATTTTTTATTGCAAACTCATCCGTCTAATACGTTTTTAAAGATATTTGTTCCTTAACATGATCGATACTCCCGGATCTGCTGCCTAGCCAAAGATTTATTAGTTATAAAATCCTTTGCCACCTATACTTTACCTTAAAACTGGTAATTTATTTAAGTTTTACCAGTTCATCCAGGAATATCCTCTAAATTTAATCTCAAAAGTGGTAATCTATGTCCAAAGTAAACCTAATTTTATTTGGTTTCAAGAACAAAATGTGTTTAACATGTGATTTCAGAAATGTTAAAGACAAGATATCCAAATTTTTCACTAAGATCAGTCTCGGTCCACAAAATACCAATAATTACTTTCAGAATAAGCACAAAAAGATCACTATCTAACCTGGAGAACACCAACTAGGGGTGACGATGGCACATCTCCAAAGACATGAAGTGCAACAGTTGCAATCGCCATAGACAATGGTCTCATATTTGGCTTAACACATTGAAGATTTATATAATTTACGGGTGCCTGAAGAATAAAAGGTAGCAAGTATTTGAGTCATGTCACAACTGTTAACCAGAAAAATTTGTATCCCAATGACAGCAGGCTAAACACATATAGAGTCAAATGTAATAAAAAGAGATCGATTCCTGTCTTTGGCCTTTAACTCCAACATATTTGATTTTTACGTTTCAAAAATTCATATCCAACAAAAACTGCAGATATTTCCTGGCCTCAGAAACTTTCATCTTTTACTTGTAAAACTATCTTGCAGTTTGAAGAAAGACAGTAACAAGATAAAAGAGCAATACATTAAATAAATTGTAACATTCTGCAGAAATAAAGTGGCAAATATATGGTTGTCTAAGCAACAATTATTTGAGGAGATACAATCGGTGGGTCAATGATGGGGAAGCTAATGTTAGTAAGTAGACATTGTATGCCTAATACTGATGTTTGACGACGATTAATTGTAATAATTTCCACATGGAAAAAGAGAAAACTGGAAAATGTAGAATACAAAGCTGAAAAATAAATGACTTCCAGATTTTGCTTCGTTTCAGGGATCCAAGAAATCAATCTTTTATTTCTCAACATATACACTTTTTATCTAGGGCAATTCCAAATGAATAAGTTGAAGGAGACTTCAGTATTATATTAAACAACTATCCACCAGAAGCAAAATTAAATGGAGAAATAGTATGTTGACTGGTGATAAGATATAGTACCTGCGTAGCAAACACCAGTAGCTCACCAACAGCAAAAAAAGCCAGAAAAGGGTACATGCTCTTGAAGCAAAAGGCAGAGAAGCAAAATATTGCCCCGAGGAATGTTGCTACCGAAAGAAGCTGTAGGAGACATTGAAAAAGAAGTTTAAATGCAGATAATAGGTTGCACGTTACGCTAATAGTAAAAAGAGCTCCACATTTTAACTTCCACCTCTCCTTGGTTACTAGTCTACTACTCCTGTTGCAGCATGATATGCTGAAAAACATTGCATCTTCATTCTGTTCTTTCACAAAGAGCGCATTACTACATCGGAGACAATTTCAACTTTTGTCCATCGGTCTGTCTAATTTACAAGCTCCTCCAGAATATAAATTACATTCCCTCAACACTAGCACCATTTCTAAGTATCAATTAA